GCGTTTTACACGTTAAAAACGGAAACATATTCAGTATAAGAACGAATAATTCTGTTAATACAATTGTTATATACAAATTCGGATACTGGTCTTTATACAACAAATCTTCCCTACTATACAATAACAAGTCTATAACACCTAATAATGTATAAGTAATTCATTATAACCTTTATTTCATAGATGCATAAGGTGTATTAAGCACCTTCCAGTTAAACTCATTCTATAATGAGTATGGAGATGATTGCTTTTTTTTAATAAAAGTCGTATATTGGTTATAAAAGTTTTAATATGCGCTATACACATTATTCTAGATAAACAGTTTAATAAGCCCATTTCTTTCAGTGTACTCACATAATTTTCCATTTCACACAACACGATATGATCATGTATCCCACAAAACATGTGCCTATACTATTTTCATCAAACTAGACGTGAAGTAGTCGATGCACAGTGGACTGTCGGATATTTTGCAATCATAACCGATTATGCACAGAGAGGCAACGATTACTTAACCATTATAAGACGCGTTTTACACGTTAAAAACGGAAACATAATCAGTATAAGAACGGATAATTTGGCTAATACAATTGTTATATACAAATTCGGATACTGGTATTTATACAACAAATCTTCCCTACTTTACAATTGGAACATAACACATAATAATGCTNAAATTTACCAAAGAATATGAGGTTTCATTTTTGGTCACCATTTGTGAATCTCTCTGTATTAAAGAAAAACAATTCTTAATATTTAATTAACTGTAGATAGTTCATTTCAAAATTAAAAACCTGTAAATATTGCCGATTTTAAAATAATAACCAGTTTGTAAAACAAATAACATCAAACGAGATCTACCGAGACGTCTATATCAACCTGTTGAAACTTTAATAAATCCAAGATAATTTAAAAATAATAATTTTACTACTTCGCATTTCCCATTCTTGGCTCTCTTAACAGAACATAATGCAACATGGAATCTTCCAAAATACCTGTACATGCTTCAATCCAAAGGTTGATACCCTAAATGAAGTCTTATCAGAATTTCAACAACCAATGCACAAATCAAGACTAACATAATGCCTCTAAAAAATCAACTCTAACACGATTAGTTTTCGAAATATTTGAAAAAAAAAACCGAAATTTTGGAAATCCGTTTTTGTTTCATTTCAGCCTTGTTTTTATATGTAACGTTTCGTCTCTTCAGAACCATCATGACCTATTTTTTAAATACGACCCTAGAAATTTTATTACATTTTTTGCAAGCATTCATGACCCCCAATACTGTACTGCCCCAGCCCGAACCAGATTCAGAAGTTTTGTATCGAAAAATTCATCTTCGATGTATTCGTTCCAAATTTATCAAAATTTTTATTAGATTTCTATACTTATTTCTTGAATTATTGTACACTCGAAGTGTCATTAGACCCTGTGAAATCCACCTTATTTAAAATATTACCATAACACGTTACAATAAAACATTCATAGTTATTTCTAGGTTTCTCGAGTGCTCAAAATTCAAACAAATTTCGATTTAATTTAAAAAGTTGCCATCAGAAAGTGTTATTCTTTTTTCAATATCATCTCAAACAAGGCTGAATTGAAACAAAAACGGATTTCCAAAATTTCATTTTTTCTAAAAAATATTTCGAAAACTAATCATGTTAGCCTTGATTTTTTAGACATAATGTTGGTCCCCTGATTCCGTTTCCTCGATCCCTATACAGGGTGTTTCATGAAGTTCTCCCGGCACTAATAGAGGATGTTCCTTGGGTTATTTCTAGGAAAAAAGTTCATATAAACATGTGTCCGATTTGCTTTACTTATTGAGCTACACGAATTTGAAAATAAAATAATGGAAATTAATTTTCATTTTTATTTTTAGAACATCGGTAATAGCGATACATAGGTACATTCTTAATTTAAAAGGTTTTCGAAAATTCCACCTCCTACTTCAAAACATTTGTCAGCACACCTGTGAATTGCTCCCGTTGCATTTCTAATATTCGCGTGCTTTTCTTTTATTTGCGTTGCAGCATTAACAATTCTTTGGATTAGAGCCTCGCGTGTTTCCACTTTCTCTTGATAAACCAAATCCTTCATCCAACCCCACATGTTGTAATCTAACGGATTGAGGTCTGGAGACCTAGCTGGCCAAATGTGTAGCCCACCTCGACCGATCCAGCGACCAGAGTAATGCTCATTTAGGTGAGCAGTGACAATTCGGGAAATATGAGGTAGAGCTCCATCATGATGCAAGTACATTCTTAATCGTCTTGCCAGAGGTACATCTTCAAGCAATCGCGGGAGTTCTTCCTTTAAAAATTGTAGATACTTTGGTCCATTAAGACGACCTTCAATAATAAATGGTCCTATAAGTTGATCGTATAACATTCCACACCACACATTAACGCTAAATCTACGTTGAAAATTACTTTCTACGGTGGCATGAGGGTTGACGTCCGACCATTGATGCATGTTATGGGTGTTGTTGATACCGTCTCTGGTAAATTGTGACTCATCCGTAAATAAGATGTAGCGATACAAATTCCTATTATTATTCAACCACTGACAAAATTCTACCCGCCTAGGGAAATCTTCTGGCTCCAGATGTTGAACACGCTGTAGATGGTATGGATACAACAGATTCTTGTTTAATGTTCTCCATACCCTGGTATTGGGAATCACTAAAGGCGTGGATATCCGTCGTGTACTAACACCGGGATTACGCTCGGCCATAGCAAGGATATTCTCTTCTTCTACAACACTCTGCTGACTTACCCGTTCGTAGTGAATGCGAACACTTGGAAGTGAACCAGTTTCTCTGAGTGCATGAAAAGTTGTGGTAAACGTTTTCGGGGATGGAATGCGACGATTTGGGAAACGCCGTTGATATTCCAGTGAAGCTAGAGTAGCATTTCCATCGCAATTACCCAAAACAAACACCATATCGGCATACTCAGCAGTCGTAAACTTAAAAGGCATTGTTCGCGAATTTGCAAAATTCAATCTTCACACTAAACTGCAAGCTTGTCAAAACTGACAGTAACCTAGATAACATTTTACCTTGCAAATGTCGTCAGAGCACACTTGACCAATGCGTAGCGCGCCGAGACGTAACGCAACAAATTTGATTATTACTTTTTACATTTAAATTTCAAATTCATGTAGCTCACAAAGTAAAGCAAATCGGACACATGTTTATATAAACTTTTTTCTAGAAATAACCCAAGGAACATCCTCTATTAGTGCCGGGAGAACTTCATGAAACACCCGGTATTGAGAAGCGAATTTGTAACAGTCTGTACAGCACCTTCTATCGATGAGCCTAAAATTACTTTCTGAAATTTTCTTTCTAAAAACCTAGTCTACTGAAGTTTTCCAACTTGATTGATGAATGATTTTGAACAGAAGACTTCGATTTTTTTTAACTTTGGTACCGCGTAGATCGAAAAGGACCAGCATTTATTTGACCAAGGTCCAATCACCCTACTTTGTTTTTAGGAATCCATCATGAAAATGTTCTTAAAGAAACACCCTGTAAGTACACCTCTCCCCCTTTAATATATCGATCCAGACACTGATCTATTAATATTACTTACAATACTCGACTTTTGAAAACGTGAATGTGGGTGTATGTCTGAGAATATTTAATGTTCACTTTAATGATACCCCAGTTCGTATAATCATAAAATAATTATTCCCGGTAATTACTAAACATGCTATATGATATTACTGGCATTTCCAAGACTATATTTAGACACCCAATTACACATTATCTTATCTAAGTGTTATTTATATCTCGTTTTCGTGTAAGTTGGAATAATAATCTTTTACGGTTATGTTCGTGTTAGCTACTTTTATGGAGAGATTTATAACAGAGTTAAAGATTATTATCAAAAAAAAAGCAAACGTCATACATCGATTTTTGCGCGATGTAACTATTTCCAAAATCATTTTGAAACGGAGAAACAAAAAACAGCTTAAGACTCCCATGATCCGGGGTCATGGAAAACAAATGAAACGTAAAAAAATAAATAAAGCGCGCTTTCGTCTAAGCAACTTCGCAGATATAGAAAGCGAGGATGTCAAGGTAAGCGACAAATGTAAGAAACTAGATAACGTACGGATTTTATAAATTGTGACAGATACGATCTAACGTCAAAAGCTAGGCTGAAAAGAAATAAACATGTCCGAGTCGCCCCGTTTTTAAACAATAGACGTGTTAAAAAATGTTAATGAATTTAGGTGAAAGTATATTTCAATATTCGTTTGAGGCGGTTTGTAGAAAACAGTCGTCAATTTTTTATGTAAATATTTCGCTAACACGAGATCGGCGGTGGACAATACAAAAAATAGCAAGTACGATGAAACTGGAAATTGCGAAGGCAAATATGGAATAAGTAAATAACAAAATAAATATTTTCTCCGCGAATTTTGTAAGAGGAGTAATATTTTTATGTAAGGAAATAGTTTAAAGATGATAAAAAAATTCTTATAAACATACTTTTACTTCCGTTTCATATTTGCAAAATCGAATATTTTTGAATTATACAAATATTTGTTAGTACTCGGATATGTTCACGTTTAATTAAAAATTTCACGGATATCACTTAAAAATCAGTACTTACTAAAATGGTTAACTGGGCCCTTTCATGTCAATTTATCAACTCCAAGTTCATATAGATAAATTTTCCTGTTTCCAAGATTAAATTTTCGAATACTTATCATTATGTAGTCCTTTATAGGTCCTCTAAGAAGACGAGGCGAAAAAATTCTGAGAATAACACAATGGGAAAAAATCTTGCTTGAAACTAACGGAGTATGCAGAGTAAAACAGCATCAGCCATTACTCTGCATGCACTAAATACGAAATGAATGTGGAATTATTATGGACAGCTTATTATTCGAATGAGGTTTGGAAAACCTCACTGAAATTATACTCAAAATTTAATTGATTACACCGAATTTCACTCAAAAATCAAAATATTGGCGCTATAGATACCAAACCCTGTTAGTTGGACTGATGTCAGTCGCGTATACTGATCACGCAAATTTTAGCCAGTAGCAGTCACGACTGGTTCTTAAATCTGTAACAATTTTTTAATAATCTAACAAATCTGCGCTTATTAAATACTTTTACATTGTTTTCTTGGAACGAGCTTACTTAATTCTCATATGGATGTCATTCGGTGATTAAAGGAGGAACTCACAACTTCCTCTTTCTCTTATCCTCCAAATTAAACCACAGAACATACAATTCTCTCACAAATACGTCCTATAC